TAACATCCTCAAAAAAGATCGTTTTGAGCTCATTATACCTTTTTATGATCCGAGTTTTCTTAGACTCAATAAAGTAGCAACGTAGTCGTCGCATGCTGAGCAGAAATAATTTGGGATGAATTTCCTTAGAGTCCTTGTCGATATCATATTGAGCCGAAAGCTCAGACATTTTAGAATAAGCTTTTGTCAGTCTCACCAAACAGCCCTTTGTCATTAAGCTGACAGACTGTTCTCAAGAAGGAGATATCATTATCCATGATCTAAAAAGAAAAAAAAAGGACCTTTAGGAATAGAAAATCGATATCTGGCAGAAGCCATGACGGCCCCCACAAATTTCAACCGAAGGCATTTAAACTGTCCTTAACGCAAAGCTATTTGCGTGCTCTTTCAAGTGATATGGATCCCGATGGCTATAAATATGAGAGACAAAAATGCAGGACTAAAATACAAAAGTAGCCTACCGCCATGTTTACGACGAAACTGTCTAAGGCCGGATTCAATAATTGAGCCTTTCAGTCTCTCTTGGGTCACTTTCCACCCTCCACCAGTCTTTGGCTTTGTTTGGTCATAATATACATGAAAGGGAACTGAACCATTAGGTTATGTAACCAGTATGTTCATACAGGTAAGAAAAGTTGATTCATTTTACCAATTTTTGCCATTGCAAGAGGACAAAAGGTAACCTAGCTTTTCCGTTTTCGCCACCAGATTCACAGGTAAAAAGGCTGTTAAGAATAACATTCGATACAAGACGCATCATGATCATGAACAGACATAGCCACTTCGACCTCGTTTGTCTGAAGGTCAGAGTTACAACGGTGTTGACTGGTAGCCGATTCTAGTACGGCCAAAGAATAGTTAAGAGATAATGATTTTATTATGATTAAATGTAGAATTCATAATGATATAATCTGTTCATCCGAATAAGAGGAGTTCGCAAAGGGAGTTTTGTGGATAACGGTAACTGACGTTTTGGAAAAAAAAACTGTTATCAAAAACCGACCAATAATTTAACTATATACACGGTTTACTAGTAAAAGGATGCGGTTTAAAAACAGTACCGTACTCCGTCTGTCAACTGATGGTCGTTTAATTGACTTTTGACGATTACTCAAGTCACCAACAATAGAAACTTACAGGACCACTTGTTGCTTATATTGAGGTATCAACTAAAACCACCCGATAAGGCTTATTAACTATAAATTTCTACGATAGAAGCCAGCAGTTCCCATAGTTCCTGGCTTAGCGATATGGCTCGGAACTCAGAATAGTGGGTCTAGTCTGCGACAGCAGTATGACAACCATTACAACTTAGTACACGGGTCAGGCAATTATAAAGTATTCTAATTTGTGTGGTAGCTTTACTCGACAACCAACTTACACAGACTAAAACCAGACCAAGAAATAAATAATTCTCTGTTTTATGGAGTTGCTCATGGCTCGTTTGAGCACCTTGATATGAATGTTGGAATTTGTTGCCGTTTTTAAGTCAAGTAAGCCGTTATTTCGCCACTGCTGATTAGAGAGCAAATTTGAAAGGCGAAACAGAAGCTTCGTGGCTAAAAATAGTTAAGCATGCCAACATTCTCGTTAACTGTTAGGGGATAAGCAGCCACGTTTAATAGGAAATTATCCCCCACGAATCATTGTAGACGTCAGAAAGGCTTGTTTCAGACACGGAATTGGGTGTGCTGGGAATTGATTAACTGCTAATTTCAACATTTTTTAAGATAGAGAGACAGAAAGCCTCATGCTGAATTGTGAAGAAAATATATATAGATCGTTTGAAACAAAAGCAAAACGAATCCTAAAAGAGCGAGAAAAAACTGACGGTGCTTTAACATGAATTACGTCTGATTTGTTCTGGGAAATGTTGTCGATAAATTTGAGAAATTAACATGGTCTTTTAATTAACTCGCTAAAAGCTTGAGAGCTGAGAAGCAAGCGGAAACCTCAGAACTACTCAAGTTGACAAGCATTCAGGCTTTTCGCAAGTTACCCTTTTAAATATTTTGACCACCGACGTCTTCTGGAACACACTGAAGTTTATTTTTCGCCACCGAAAATTTACTCCCATCGGCATTTACTAAAACACAGACGATAGAAATTAGATGATAGACAATAAACGTTAGACTGTAGACGGTGGACGGAAGAAGGTAGACGGTAGACGATGGAGTCTATTATATTATTATTATAACGGAATTCAAAATGTTTAGGCAATCTTTTTTTTTTTTTTTTTTTCTGGTTTTTCAATAGCCTGAACGTTCTTTTATAAGTGCTACGTCTTCGAACCTTTTCCAAAAAAGTGAAAGGAAAAAAAAAAGAAAAAGGAGACAGGAGAGGAACCGAACCTTAAACCTTTGGCAGGTATACCTTCTGCGCCAGGTAAGCAAAGCGCACTGAGCGACGAGGCTTTGAATAAAAATACATTTGATGTTCATTTAATACATGTACCTGCCCTGTTCCCGGCCTGACAATTGACCAGTGTACAAAATCTGTTCACCATTTTGGTATGGATACTATATGGCTCATTGTTTTTTTACTGCCATAATTTATAATATGCAACAGTAGGCAGATGCAGTCCTAAATTGCTTTTCATTGTGAAAACCATATGGAGCATCCGTGAAGCCACTAAAATAAAACTCATCTGTGTTTACATCCTGGAATCCATGTTAGAAGTATTCTTATCTGCAAGTTTTTGATACATTTAGTAATCCATTATGGCAAAAATAACATTTAATATCGTTTTTCATGGCACCCCCCTTCAGTGAAACCTGCATTAAGCGGTCAATCTGTATTAGCGGTCACCCCGCCATTCCCAACGGGTGACCGCTCAATAAAATATAGGTTGACTGTAGTAATAGAACACACCGTGAAAGAAAATTTATGCAACACTCACACAATTGTGTGACAGTTCATGTCCCAAACAAAAACAATCGTCTACCGTCCACCATCTACCGTCTACCGTCCATCGTCTACCGTCCACCATCCACCGTTTACCGTCAATCACCTGCGTTTCAGTATATGTAACTTTGTAACCTTTCATACTGTCATGGAATACACCGGATCGCTTCGGGTTTTCTTCTCAATCCTTCACGAATCATTGCGTAATATATACAAACTTGCCTGATTCTAACAAGACATATTCTTATTTCCATTGAAAAGATGAAAAGTTTTATTTGTAAAGGCAAGATATTATAAGATTCTCTTGGTTAAGGACAAGTTTGTTTTGGCTTATTTTTTGTTTGTATGATATTTATCATTATCAGCCAGTAGGGTATTTGTACTTATACCAGCAGTAAATGACCAGAATAGTAAAGGCTACAAATGGGAGAGACCATAAAAACTTCTAACCAATCAAGAACTTCCTTTTTGAAACAATTTAACAAGGCCCTAACTAATTATAACTTCAGTGCTTCTATACGCTTAATATAAGTCTTACAATTGTACTTATGTTCCCACCTATAGCTTATCAATCTGCTAACATTTATCGGTTTTAACTATTCGCCGTGTTTTTTCATGCACAACCTGGACACGAGTAATGCGGAGTCGAGCTGTTTGACACAATTTTTTTGCTTATATTCACATAAAGTTTCAATAACTCAACTCGCTTTGTGATACACCGTGTTTTAAAAATTCTTAGATATTCTCTGTAGAATCTCCTGAAGACCGCTAAGTGTATTTAGTTAGGGTGAAAAGTTAAGAGGAGAAGTGCTATTGTGACAGTTAGTATTGGAAGCAGATTATCACACAAAGAAAATAAACTGTTTTTTGTGCAGTAATGGAATTTTTTGTTTTAAAAAGGATCGTTGATTTTAAAAATTACATCGCTTCAAACCAACAGATTTCCTTTGTTCGATCTCGTGTTGTGGATAGACGCAGCGTTGCTTTCACATTAAACATATAACACCAGGCAAACATCGATTTATTAAAGTTCAACCATAAATAAAAGGAGACGAAATTTATAAAAGGGAACTTTTAAAGTGGGAAAGAACTAGTTTTCGTTCGTGGGGACGAAAACAGTGGTTGTAGAGAGTTATGGGGTGAAACGTTCGGTTATCAGTGAAATATTTACCCAAATCTTGACTGAATTACAGGATATTCGTGCCAATTAGATCTTGAGTGTTTCCAGAGGCAAACGTGCACTTGAAACTTAAATTTTGGTGCAATTAACGAGTGTGCTTAGAGGAAATAATACTGTTATTTTTATGGCAATCATTAGTCAAACGTCTTATAAAGAGGATGTAACTACTATCTTCATGTATGATCGGCAAGAAAGAATGAAGCATGAAATAATACCCGCGCAAAAGTAATCTTATCTGGCGAAATTTTCCGCTTTGACAAGAACTTGTCTTCACAGTTATCAAAAAAAACAACGACAACAACAACAAACAATAAGATTTTATGTAACGCCCGATCAATTGAACTCAATCGAACTCGTTTGGGTATAGTGATCTGCAGGATCAAGGATCATAATCTTGATATCCGACCCGCTAAAGCACAGACAGAGCACGTCCGCAATACCGGACACTGCCTTCTCCGTGTAACTGTCAGTCAAGTCGATCCATCCGTTCGTCATGCAGCCCACTTCCGAAACAGCTCTGGTCATCCAGATTTGACTCTATACCCAGCTCTTTTCAGATTTTAAGCTTCGTGTTAGTTATGGCCTTAGAGCAATCATAAAATTGTACATCATCTGGCTTATTCGCTCTTAAAATCATACCCTTGTAGCGGTTCCATCTAACTAATTCTACCATAAAGCCAAACATACAAAAGCAAAACTAGTACAAAAATAGCATGCTTTTCTTTATCAAAAACGGCAAATTGAATGCAATTAGTTTAATAAACCGTTTCGCACTCATCCTGCCAGCTTTCCACGCAAGCAGTTTACACAGACGCCGGACCCTGTGATACACAAATATTTCTCGTAAAATCTGGTGCAATCAACACAAGTTACATAAAGCAAATAACTAAACGGATTATGTTCTAAAAATTTTATTGCTAGATTTCACCTTGCAACTAACATAAACAATTGGTCTAATGATCGCATTTTGTTCATGAAGTAATCGACTAGATATAAGTGGATCAATACATGTATGAAGGAAATAGTTAAGGAAAGTCCACAGGCTTAATTTTCATTTCAGATGTCATTGGAGCGCTTTCTCTTGCAGTGACAGCTAAATTACCCCAATGGATCTTTTTCTTGGCCCAGACCCAGGCAGTGGTCTTGTTTTCCTTTCCACAATGCTGATGAGCACCATTGAGGTTTGAACACACAGGACACTCAGTACTATTGACGTACCACCAGCCTCCCGATATATTATGGACACAGTGTTCATTAACTTTATCCCGGGTACCAAACGACGAGCCATTATGATACTCAAGAGAGTCATGGACAGTCGCATCTGCCAACAATAACAACAACAACGATGATATTGATAGTGATAATAATAATAATGATAATAACAATAACAATAGTAAAATAATAATAACATCATAATAATTATGATGAAGAAGACGACGATAATGATATCAATAACAAATTATGATACCACTTAATCATAAGGTGATGGTATAGTTATTAATATTAATATAAGTTCAAGGGTGACGATATCGATGATGAAGCTCGAGTTGCGTTCGACTTCGAATCGAGCGACTCTTACGCATCTTTCGTGCTCTATAAACTTCCCAATTAGTTCGTATCTCGACGAATGCTGAAGTATGAAGCTCTTGTTAAATAAAAAAGCGCAACAAAGTCGTTTGGGAGACATGCATGAGTCGTAAATGCTAGTTATTGAGGATGTTGTCATGGCTGCAGTTGACATAATTGCCTTAAAGAAGCTAATTGACTTACTTGCAATATTTCCAAGGTTTAGCTGGTACATGGCTTTCTCCTCTCCGATCTTGAACCACGAATATTCAGCGTAGACTGCTTTATTCTTAACTCTTCCCAGATCTACTCGAAGTCTGTTTTCCGTCTCATTTTGCGTCAGACGATAAATCTTATCCAATCCGAGCCAATATTCACCAATAAGAAAATTACCGAAGCCATGCTTGTAGTCAGCCCAATCGCGGTTAAAATCCAAGCAACCATCCAGTCTCCTCTGAAACACCGTCCATCCCCCACCTGCTGTTGTCTGGTCACAATACACTTTAAAGGGACCTGAACCATCAGGGTCTATTGAGTAAACGCCGCTGATTCTTTCTCCGCATTTGTACAGCTCAGCACAATCCTTAGCTGTTGAAATTAAAATGTGTAGTGTAAAGGTAAAGTGACGAGAGGTTCATTATAGTATTTTGAAAATAACAGGCAAAGCGTGAAAGGGAGAGAAGTGAGGGGGGAGGGAAAGTAAACGGGCGGAGATAAGGAGGTGTGTTTTAAATTCCCGTTCCAGTCTCTGAGGTTTAGAAAAATAAGATATATGATAAATCACGGAATTTGCGAATAAACCTCTTTTTTCTCATGAGTGGCAAGGGCATTAAACGTTTTCACAAAAGAAAAAAGTTTTCTCTGTATAAAAAGCCTCTGCCTTACTCTCTTACCTTGTTTCAAGCAGTTTCCAGGTCTATTTTTGTGGTCCATCGGAGCGATACTCCTTGTTACTAATTTTTGAAACAACGCAAAAAGAGTCACGAGCAGCAAATTATTAGCTATTTGTAAGGACTTCATTATGGGATGCACTGGCTTAATCCAGGTACTTTATAAAGATACAGGTTGTAAAGGAACACAACATGTACAAACAACAGCAGAAACTGCAAGGTCGTAATCTTGTATTTATATCTTTTCAAGCGGTTTCTTATCCTCTTCTGGAATTTTTGGGTCATTGCCGTGTCTCACGAAAAAAGGAAATTGAACAAATAAATAACTTACATACCTTTTTTTAGTGATCAGTAAGGCGATCACAATAAACTCCGTGGGGAAAAATTGAATTAAGAATTTATGACTGGGTCAGTGACACGTAGCAGGTTGAATATACTCGACAAAGTACGGAATCACTAATTAAAATCCACATTTCCTCACAAATCTGAAAGGATTATAAATCAGTCTCAAGGATCATTTGGATGTGGTTGACGATTAGTCTGAGGTTAACTCGCAATACAAGAAACGAAATAAAGGTCCTGAGACTTCACTGCGAAAAACCGCATGAAAAAACTGAGTAACAGCGCAACATCTTAAATCCCAATGCCCCGGTTAACAGTTTAAGTGAATAAGACTGTTATGGTTACGAGCCATTTATCAGAGCTTCAAAATGTCAACGGCTTAGCGTATACTAGGCTGACCCTAAGCGTTTTGTTGCACATACCCGAGTTACTTAGTTGTCTCCATTTTTGGTAATCAATAACGTTTGCTGATGATACCAGCATCAATTTTGCAGATAATTTAGTATTGTCAAAGGAATAAACGAAATACAGTAACTCACAGATGAAAGGAATATTTCGTTATGGCTTGTAGCCAATAACGTTTTGTTGAATTTGGCGAAGACGGAATTTCTATTAATTGGTTCAGGAAAAGACTCTTTAATCTACGGGAGAATCTCACAAGAAAAATAAACGAAACCCCTGTCTCTACTATGAAATATCTCGATGCACATATTTATGAAAATGAACTGGGAAGTTTTTTATTCAATATAATAGAAAAAAAAGATTGCCTCTGGAATAGACGCCATATTATCAAACTTAATCAATAAAATATTTCGATATTTCGTTCTTTGTGAGAGGTTTTTCACTTATTATAACACATTTCTTCAGCCAATGTGCTCTATTACTGGAGTGCTTTACATTAGAAGCACTTAGCCAATAAAAGAGAAACGTCAACCATAATTTTTCGACAATCTTGCCGACCATGAGAGCTCTATGAACTTGAAATTGAATTAGTTTCTAGGTAGTTGTGCCTTTGATGGAGGTAATTCAATATCGTGACAACTTTACAATGGAAGCAATGCTAATTAACATAAACGTAACCCGATTCTGTCCCGTAGAAAGTTCAAAACAAGCAAGTATTAAAAAGATAATTGGTTGCCACTCATTTGATCGTTTCCTTCCTTTTCTTATTTAGCCTGCCTTACTAACAAATATTTCCGTGTGGTTGTTCGAACAATGTCATTAATCCTGCCCGGAGGGCGAAAAGAGGATCAAGACTGGAGGCTAGCACTCATCGATCTTTGCTTTAATTCTATCAGTAATGGTGATGATTCCTCTTCGAAATCTTTGAGACTTTTCACAAGATAGACTTTTACAAACTATCTCCTGTATGTGATTAATGAAAATGGAAAGCAAGGTGAGTCGCGAACCTGTTGCTTTCTGACTCAGTCGAAAGTTCTCATTTCGTGATGCTTTCTTTGAGTATCAGTGAGAAAAGGTTACAATAATATTAATTTTTTATGTGGGTGTGTTGTTTTAGCTTTTTTTTTTAAGAGTGTAAGGCTAATGTACGACAAGTAAAATATAAAAATCCTCAAGATAATCTCCGCTGTAAAATAAATGATTAGCTTCCAATTAAGAGGTCACATCAAAGCAGGAATCCGGCTCTATTAATGTTTTTCACCAAATCTCTTGTTTTCACTGCACGACAAACGATGAAATAGAAAATCTTAACTTTTTATAGTTTCATTTAGTTACCTAAAGGAAGTGAAAAAATGTAAAAGTTTTAAGAGGACGTCATGGCTGGTTCAGGGTTGATTTAACACGTTTGTGTCGTTTCTAACGTTAACACCAAGGTATTAACGATATTAACGTCTAATTATTTAGATTTCATGTGGAAAACTAGAATATCAACAAGGAATCACCTTAGATACACACTAGTAGCTTATAATGATAAAGCTGGGATGAAGGCAAAGCGACTGACAAAACTGGTTGCCTTGTGAAGATGTCTTTAATAAAACAAGGCTTCGCTGCTTCTTATGGTCTTATATAGTTCACCAGCTAGTCCCCTTTGTTCCTTTTCTCTGCCTTCCAACCCATCAAACGTCTTAGCAAAATATATTCGTGGCTAAAATAATTCGCGAAGAAAAAAAAAATCTACGCATGATCAAAATCGAAGCGTTTACGGCGCATGACTCACGAAGCTGCATTTAGGACAGTTTTCCCGGCGAAAAAAGGCACAAAGAGGCATACAAAGCACCTGGTATCTGTTTCAATGTGTTACCCTAGGTATTTAGACGGTATTCCGAAAAAGTAATATCTACCCTTTAGGCAAGTATCATTTACCCTTCCAAACAGCCGGAGACACAAAGTCTCGCGTCGAGAGTTAAATTTCTGACCAATTTTATCGTTGTTGTTGTTTTTGATTTTGTTTTTGGTTTTGCTGTTTTTTTTTGTTTTTTTTTTGGTTTTTGTGTGAAATGTATCCCCTCAAATGGCTCAGAACAGCTCTATTTAACTCCCTTATCTATTTTTTCTTCAGGGAAAAAATGAGCGCACTTTGCGCTCAAACGCCTAAAAGATTGACATTGCTCGATGAGTGCTATGACTTCTATTTTTCACATAGACTTACGAGACACATGATCAGGATCACTAAGAACATTGCCAGGTGGTGGCGTAAACCTTCTGCATTAGGTACAAGCAATCATGGCGTGGTTAAAGTTCTTTTTTTTTTTTTTTTTTTTCTTTTGTGGTACCTGTTGTGCTTGCCCTTCATCAATCGATATAAAATCATAACTCTTTTTAACGTCAAGAGAATATCAACTCTAATAATTTATTGTTATCGTATAACTGTAACTGCCAACTGTTTTAGTCTTTCGTTTAGCTATTGCACATCGGCGTTGTTTTCGTAAGTGAAGAGGCGCGTTTCATTAGCAGCCATTCGTTCTTACCGCAGTGAAGAAGATAAAAGTTCTGTTCGACTTTTTGATGTCATTAATTGCTTCATCTTATAACGTTGTAGTTTAAAGAAAATTACGACACATTTTAAAAACATGTTTCGACAGTTCTTCTGTCATCTTCACTTCTGAAATCTTCACTTCTGAATGATACAAAGTACAACGTTGAATTCAAAGTGTGTAACAAAATGCTGATTGAACAAGGCAAACAATAGAAACAGAATAATGTATGCATTTACAAGGAAAGTTTTGAATTAACACGATAAAGTTGATGATTAGGTGAAGGTTTGTCCCATTGAATGTGGATATCTTCTTTCATTTTAAGTCTAAACTGGTCACAGGCAATTTACATTTTAGTCCTTCAATTTCCTTCAGATACACTTCTGCAAACATGTGGAACAAACTAACAGAAGACCTAAGGTCATGAACGTCCTTGAAAGATTTCAGAACTAAAATATGCCAAATTTCATCCGAACATCGATGCAATTGTTACTTATGTAGATAGTACTTTATGTACTGTAGATAGTATACCATTTTATTTTTATTTATTTAGTTTCTGTTGTTTTTTTCTTTCTTTCTCGGAGAAATTAGGTATACAGCTAATATACTGTTTGGTCCTAAAGCAAAGCTCCTTCTGTTAAATGACTGTAAATATACGAAATCATATATGCGAACTGTGGTTTTAGAAATGAACTTGGAAGCATCTTCGCCGTACTAAACACTACTTTTAAGTAGTGTTCTAGTGTTTTTTACCGTTTAAAAAAAGTAGTGAAAATAAAGTCTGAAAAAATTTCAGGCCTGTAAGGGATTTGAACCTATGAGCCAGAATGTTTTTTTAGGCCTTTTTGATACTACTTTATCCCGTTTACTCTGAAATGTCGCTAATAAACTTTCGCATGACTTAACTTTTCGTGCTCAGGAAATGGACCTCCACCTTTTAGGAGACGATACATTTGTTTTAATCACTTTATTTAACTTAGAAAGCAAGTGATTAAATGTGTTATATAGCGCAATATCGTATTTCTTTCCTGAGGAAGTAAAGGAAATTAAACTTTATATATGCACATACCTTAGCAATCCTAAATATTTCTTGATCTTTTTCGTATCGATTTTGTCGTAACATGGTTCAAGTAAATATAAGCACACAAACTTGCAGATGGAAGAGGAATTTATCACTGATATGCACATTGCTCAAGAGGTCTTTAGAGAAGATGTGCATGACTCGGGCAACAGAATATAGAAGAAAGCCTTTCTGAGTAATACGTTTAGCTTGAGTTTAAAACTCGTTTATGGAAAGAATTCCTAGTTAATTACTGAACATATTTGTATCTGCCTTTACTTATGTCGTTTGGTCGCATTTTCCGCTTCAGAAAATATTGGAAATTTAACTTTATAGGGGTTATAAAAGGTGATATTGTGCTTTCGATGAGCTGGCTAGTCGTTTAAGTCTTTAAAAACAAATGATTCTCCGTCACAATAAAGTTAAAAAAAGAATCAAAAGAACTCTGACGCATAATTTGGGTTTGTTGCTGTGCCTAGTGGTATCCTATGATATCCTTTAGGACTAAATACTTTCATTGCCAGCTGCATGGACGGCAAATTCGTCAAAGTCTGAGAAAAAGCGAATCATGTCACAATGAGGTTGCGAGGGTGAGATAATGATTCATGTTTTTGGATTGAAAGTAATCAGGGAATCTAAGCTTATAACCCTTAATTGCTTTTGTTAGATTTCCTCGCTATTAATCTGTCTTTTGTTTACAAATTGTCGCAGTGTCATGTTATGGCAAATGAGATAACATTGAAAAAAGCAATGTTAGGAAAAATAAGAAAAACCGGACATTTTGTCAAACTAGAATTTACAACATTAAGGTATTCTGAGTACGGAGAAATACATGTTCGTGATCGCCAACCTTCAAGGGGATTACCAGAAGGGGATGATCAAGAGAGAAAAGTAAGTTCTGCCTACTTTTCATGTAACCTCTCGACTCAATTGTATGTTTTCTCCCTTCTCTTTCTTTTATTCATAAAATTTGATTCGTGTCATTATCGTTAATTAGGAAGCTGGAAACCACAATCCGTATTGCATCAGCAGGACTTAACATGAGAATTTGAACGTCGCAGGTAAATGTTCTTTAATTTGCGACGATAGAACACACACCCACTCGCGTAATTGTACTAAATGTGCCACTTGTGGTTAAAGGAGAGATGTTAGATAATGAAATCCCCACAAACCAATGAAGCGCAATGAGAGGAACATTGCTCATTTCGTAACTTATCACCAGAAAAGTCGAATCAACATGCGCGCATGAAACGTGCCGCGAGACACTTAGATGTCTTTGCGTGGGCTTCGTATCGATTGCGATCATTCTATCATGAGCGAAAAATTTAAGGGAAGAGTTGTTAAATTTCCCGTGGAGTAACACTTTTTTAGAATGCACAAGCTGCCTAGTTATGATCATACATTTCCGATGTTTTTTTCAATGCTTTGCCTGGCATGAAACAAACAAATTTCGGTTCAGTTTTGCGAATTTTGTTCCGTTGCCTTTTGCAACGCCGTATTGTATGTTACTGAGTCAATGATCTGGGCAGATGCGACTTCAATTTTCTGTTTTCTACTCATATGTAAGCGTAACAAACCTTACATATATCCATTCGATAAAGATCAATATAAGACTGTTTTGAGGCAATATTTGTTATTTTTTTAATTTAGAACTCTGACCGGTTTTGAGGGTCAGACATGTCTCGATGCGGTTAGAGGATTAACAACTCATTTGACAAGGCCACCCGTTTTGGATCCACTTTTCAGGCGATCACAATTTATTGTGAATTAAATCGTTTAAAGATAATATCAGTCAGATTGATTCGCCAAAATATGACTGTTAAAATAGAATAACATTGCCATGGGCGTCCTCCGTACACAAAACTAGGAATGTATTGTTTGATTTATGATAACCTCCTAAGGGGGATTAACGACCCATCAGTGCTCTTGAGCTTAAAAAAAAAACGCCGGCTAAAGCAGGATTTTATTTCGTCTCCTCTCCCCTAACCTGGTTTTTTTTTTTTTTTCGCAGAACGTGCATGACTAACTCAGCTCATGAAACTTCTAACAAGTTTTTAACTTCAGCAAAGAACTATGCTGAGCTGTACACATTGGGTGAGAAAAACAGCGTTGTCTACACAGTCGACCTTGATGATTCAGGTGCCTTTGAAGGCACGATACTATACGATACTTAAAGCACTAACAACAGCACTCGAAGGTTTACACGCCATAATCTGTTTGATGCAAACCGGCATACTCTGGTGAAATGATGTGGCTTTTTTTTCATCAACAGAAAAAATGGCTTCACCAAAGCGTTCTTTGCTGACGCAAATATGAGTTGATATTTGCCACTCCACACGACAGTCCGTGACCGTAACTACCGTTAATCCGATCGAAGATGCTTTTTCCACTTTATCATAAACAATACGTTGAAGCGGACAAAGGACAACTATGCTCGAAGATTTCTCTTTATGATTTCTTTTATACGAACCAACATCTAAAGTTTCAGGCTTTCCCCAAAGCCAGTAGGCAACACAGCGAGTTGATCCTTTCCAAAACCTGTGTAGAAATTGCTTCTTTTTTTTTTCCGATTTTAATGCAAGAGGCATATTAAATTCTGAGAGACACTTAAGTGCTTCCTCGAAAGCGGAATCGAACCCTAAAAAGTAACCCTAAAACTTTCGTGCACATTGATAGTTCTTATAAGCACGATGCTTATAATTCGGGCAACAGTATCCAGAATGAGGTCTGGTCAATCCTTCAACAAGATCGTCAGAGATTTCTGATCCTTAACAACACTGACTCTACCAGGTCGTTTGCCTGAAATGGATCTGCAGACATACTTATTTTCGTCACCAAGGTCAATGCAGAATAGACTTCCTCGAACACGAGTTCGGCCATTTAAATCAACCCACTCGTTTTTATCACTTAGGAGACCAAAGACTTCTTAATCGAAAAGGCAAACATAAGCTTCAGAGGGAAAATTTAAAATTAATTCGAATAACTTATTTAGGTACAATTAGGCATTTTGTCAAATTAGTATTTACTAACTTAAGGTTGTTTGCGTGCGGGAAAATACTTCAACACCAAACCTCAAAGGAAAATACGGAAGATATAAAAGAACTGGAAAAGCCTTGCGTGTGGAGAAATAATAACCTTCATTTGATAAAACAGCTGGCATCGCATCCGAACCATTAATAGAATAGACATTCACATATATGCCGTAAGAATACCAAAACTCAATGTAGGTTCAACTGTACACAGCCGCCAATGAAACGCGCCATGATACTCTATCCTCTAGTTGAAGATCCAGCTGATAATGAATTTAAAATGCACAAAGGTAATTGGCAGACTATTAAAAGGTATCTAAATAATATGAAAGAAGGAGAAGAGATTTCCTTTGATCAGTTACTCATCAACATCAGTGTGACAGAAGAAAAATATTAACGTGCCATAAGGTCATCTCTTAACACTCCTACTGTATTTTTAAAAAGAAATCCAAATGAATTACGAATAAACAATTACAACCCTGCTTGTCTTAGTGCATGGCGGGCCAACATGGATATCCAGTATGTACTAGATGTATATGCATGTGCTGTGTACATAGTCAATTACATATCAAAGGGTCAGAAGGGAATGAGTGAACTTTTGAGGGAAGCTTGTGCTGAGGCAACAAAAAAGGAATAATAGCATTAGAAAACAAATAAGAGATATCAATAGTAAATTTGTTAATAATGTATAGATCAGTACACACAAAGCAGTGTACATCGTATTACAATTGCCTATGAGAAAAGCATCTCGACATATAGTATTTATAGTATTTATAGTACATATAGTATTTATAGTATTTATACGTCACCCCCTGATGAGAGGGTAGAGCTTTTGAAACCAATGAATGAAATTGAAGACATGAATGATGAATGCAAAGAAATCTGTATCAGTGGATTGTTAGAGCGGTATTGTAAAAGCCCAACAAAATTAGAAAACCTAACATTGGCAAACTGGGTGGCTTGGTATGATTGTAGTAAAAAGCATATGTGAAACAAACAAATGAAGTGGATGTAGATGGTCTACCATTAGAGGCTTTTATTGATGATAATCAGAATGATGATAATGAGCATAGCAAGTTACCTACTTCTAGCAAAACTAAAAGAAGAACTAAAGCGAGAATAATAAGGAGTGTATGATTGAATAAGGAAACTGAACCAGAAAAAAATTACCATGAACTTACAATGCTGCTTACACCATGGAGAAATGAAGAAACCGACTTACCTGGAAGATGCTCTTCTTACCAAGAACGGTACCTGCTGTTATGTTATGCAATCAATGAACAAGTGAAGCATTATGCTATATGTAATGAAGATTTCAGTGAAATACAACAGGGGATGAGTAGAATTGAAGACACATGTGATACTATTCTACCATGTACACAATATCTTGTACAACAAGATGAAGCTGAAGGTAACCAGGACTTGCATCCTGACTTTAATAAAAGCGATAATTTATCAGATGATTTAGGTATACCATCAGCTGATCTGAACACTGAAACATTGCTGATAAATGAATTCCAAGATGAATACAGACACCTTGTACAGATGTTAAATAAAGAAAAAAAGGAATTCTTCTAATATGTCTTGCATTTAATCAAAATGTGGAATGAACCATTCTACTGTGTCCTTAGTGGAGGTGCAGGTGTAGGTGAATCACATGTTACCAAGGCCTTGTATCAAGCAGCACTTAAGTATTACAATAGTAGGGCTGGCGATAACTTTTCAGAATTGAAAGTATAGATGTTGGCACCTACTGGTAAAGCAGCATATAAATATTAAAGGCAATACCATTCATAGCGCTCTGGCCATAACAGCATGTCAGTCATTAAAGATCTTCAAGCCTCTGAACTCAAGTAGACTTAATACACTAAGATGTAAACTTGGCGGTGTTAAGCTTATATTAATAGATGAAATATCTATGGTTGATAACACTATGTTCAATGTACAGTTCAACAACAGACTAAACGATATGAAAGGTAGCTCAGTACCCTTTGGTGGTGTTAGTATCGTTGCTATTGGAGATTTATTTCAACTGTAGCCTGTAATGGATGGTTATATATTCAAACATATAGACAGTAATGAATATGGTATCCTTGCCCCTAATGTCTGGCAAGAGCTTTTCAAAATGTTCGAACTGAATCAAATAATGAGGCAAAGAGAGAGTAAACTATTTGCCGAAATGTTAAACAGGTTAAGAGAAGGTACTCATACCAACAAAGACATTATGTAATTGAAAAAAGGCTTATTTTACCAAGTAGTGGTAACTACCCTTGAGATGCACCACACTTGTTTGTTCAGAATAACAAAGTAAATGAGTTTAATAACGAGGTCCATATTGCACTGTCAGGTCAAAAGTACTTTATTAAGTCAGTCACTGGAGTTCAAAGACAGAATATTGAAACAAATACCAAGTGACCCCAAGAAAACTAAACAGTTACATTCCATCCAAGGTTAGCAGTGGGAGAAAGGACTAAGATCTCTCAATACTAGAACAGATGATGGTATGACGAATGGTGCTGCTAATGTTATCAAATCAATACAAATACATCAGTCAGGCAAACCTTTTAGTATGATATGGGTACAGTTTAACCGTGCTGAAGTTGGAGAGAAAACCAGACATGATAACAGAAAGTTGCATGTCCAGGGTATTGAACCTTCATGGACACCTGGTAGGTAGAAATAGATCGCTACAAGTGGTTAGAAAACAATTTGCACTTAGACCTGCTGCTGCTAGAACTACTCATAGATCACAAGGTGACACTGAAACTATAGTTGTAGTAAAGTTTGACACTAGAAGGGACTTACCTGGAAGATGTTCTTCTTACCAAGAACGGTACATGCTATTCATAGATCACAAGGTGACACTGAAACTATAATTGTAGTAAACTTTGACACTAGAAGGGCAATACCACATATACATTATGTTGTTCTTAGTAGGGTTACTACTATAGATGGCCTTTTTATTACTGATCTATGTGAAAACAAAATAGCTGTTAGTTGTGATGTCCAAACAGAAATGGATCGTTTAAGAGGTGAAGTGAAGTTGTCTCTTTCAGTAACTCCAGTTTATAATGTGTCTCAGATTAGTTTTAAAGCATGTTTCCCTAATGCAAGATCATAACATAGACACATAGAAGATGTTCGTAAAGATTTCAATTATTCAAGTACTGATGTAAATATTTTTTCACATACAAGGTTTTCTCAATTTGTCAGTGACAGTTTGTATTTGATATAAACGATGAAGAATACACATTGTTTAGAAATGATAATTCTTCAAGACATTCACAAAATACACGACCATATGGAGGCATAGCAGTGTATAGTCGAGTTGACTATTATCACGAGTATCCATATTGCTCTAATAGAAATATTGTAGAAATAACTATTTTGAGATTCATGATGATCCCTCATGTAACAATTGTAGCAGTCTACAGATCACCTTCAGTATCAATAAGAGAAGCATCTGGTGCTATCGAAGAGACATTTAACTCTCTACCAACTCAATTTAACATATTTATGGGCGCCTTCAATGTAAACTGCCTAAGTGATTCACTGCGTACACCACTTTACAACTTGTTCATAAGAGACAATGGCTATAGGCAGTTAGTTTTCTGTAGTAACACTGACAGTAATACTTGTATTGACCATATATACACTAACTTACCAGAGGCACAAGCACACTTTCAAATATTAGAAACCTATTTTACAGACCACAAAGCAATTTGGGCTTTAAGAAACTGCTTTGAAGCAAATAACATAATTGCATAATTGAATAAGCATATCCAGTATTGCATCAATAAAGCTTGTCAAAGCACTATTAAGGAAAAATTAGAATAATTATTGTATTTACAATTTATTTCAGAGTTGTTCACAACATGGCCAATTCAGCCTCACTAGGGTAAGTATGTATAGAGGATAAATTATGTGTTTTCATGTACACTTAACTAAAATCTATCTCTCTCTCTTTTTTTTCAATAGGAAATCTCCAAGTAAAAACGTTGCAGAAGGTGATTTTATTTTTATGCCAACTTAAGTTAAAATGCCTTTACAGGCAATGTGATCAAAAATTTTTATAAGAGAAGTTTTCATTCATATGTGTAAGAAATCCTTGAAATCCTTTGTGTAGTTTCGTTGTTTATAACTATTACTAAATAATCCTTTTGATAATGGATGAAGGAAGTCACTCCATGCCATAACATTTCAGAATGGAGTTTTAAAACCTGACACATGAACAGTGTGTTTTAATTTACTGAAACTTTAGCTTTCCAAGCTCTTTAGCTTTAAATAACAAAATACCTGACCTACATGTACATTTACAACATTATCTATATATGATTATATACTAGTCCACAAGTTCAATGCTGTTTGTATTTATTGTGTAGTTGAGTATTAGCTTTTATTTGCAATTATTTTCAGATATAGAATTCAAAGGCTATGTACATGGTCTCTCTCCAGTAAAGACAGGAAAAAAAAATCAAGAGTACCCTTCTTTAACTGCACAATCCAAACAGGACAAGCTGACAAGATCCGAGCAGTATGTTACGATCCAAAACAGCAAACCAGTCTACAGCAAGCACAACAACAGAAATCCCCCATCAAAATTTCAGGTTTAAAAAGACTACCTAGCTCACGTTTTTCTAATAATAACTGCAAAGAATTTAAAATAACAAAAATGGCAAAGGTAGCACCTACAGATACTGATTTCACCTAAAACCTAGATGTTTCCTTTTCTTTAATTACAATAAAAGCCTTTTCAACTGACCCCTTCAAAACTGTGGATGTACGTGCTAAAGTTATGATCAAAAATGAAGAAAGTAAACCTGTCATATTCAATGGCCAAAGACTGATGTAAGTTGATTGCATTGGCTGTGAATATATGAAAGTCATATATTTAAACTGCGGATATAAAGACATGAATATGGAAGCGATCTTCGCAGTAATGAACACTACTTAAGCAGTAGTGAAAAGAGTGGTGTAAGAGTAGTGTTCATTACTGCGAAGATCGCTTTCATATTCACGTCTTTATCCGCAGTTCAAATATATGACCTTCATATATTCACAGCCGTTTATTAACCACTTCACGAGTTTATTTGGAACCAACATAGTGACCAGTTCCCAGTTGGCTTGTTAGCTCATTTGGTAGAGCACTGAACCGGTATCGCAGAGGTCAAGGGCTCAAGTCCCATACAGGCCTGAATTTTTTCCAGGCCTTCTTTTCACTACTGCTTAAGTAGTGTTCATTACTACGAAGATCGCTTTCATATTCACGTTGATTGCATTGTTGCTGATCACACTGAAAGCATCAAGCTTGCACTATGGGAAGATATGATTCAGAGAGTTGATTCAGGAAAGTCATATCTCTTTAAACGTGTCGCAGTAAAAATTTTTGATGATACCAAGTGTTTGAATGCCGATTAGTCTTCCACTGTTGAGCTTCAAGACGAAATTGATGACATTAAACTAACATCAAAAGAGATCAAAGATAATATTGTAGAAGGACAGTGTCTAGGAGAACATGTTAAACAGGCAACATCCTGTATTGTCTGTAATAATACAGTTCAAGTAGTAGCTGACAAAGATATAGTTACATGTGAACGCTGTAAAACTTCTATGTTAAAATCAGCATGTAATAACAAACTAGTATGTCATTTGATAATGAAAACAACAACTGGTAAACTTGAAGTATTCACATGCCTCAATGATGGCTTGCAAAGTTTCTTAGTGTCAATCAACAATGATACTAACATAAATAATATTTCTCATGAAGAACTTGAAAAACTTCTCCTATATGCAGGAAAGAGACAAATGATCGTTGATCAGTCAGTGAATATTATTCAGCAATTCCTTCTGTAACTACATATGTTACCTATGTTAAAATATGTTGTGTTAATTCTGTTAAAATGAACATTTTATGGTGTGGTTCCATTAACTTGAGAAACCCAAATCAATCAAGGCATGTTATTCAGCAATTCATGCTGTAACTAAAGGATCATTGTTCAGTTCATGTTATTCACCAGTTCCTGTTGTACCTATGTTACCTATGTTAAAGTATGTCATAGGCTTTGTTGAAATAAAATTATGTTATGTCACTGTGTGTTAGCTCTGTTAAAATCGGCATGTTACAGTGTGGTTTTCATTACCCCAAGGAATACACTAAATTATTACACTTTTCACAGTACACTGTTTTTCTATTATACTGTTTTGTCGTAATTTGATTGTTACAGATTAGCTAATAGACTGTGTTTCATGAGTTAATGAAAACCAATCAAACTGGTATGTAATTTGACAATCAAAACCACAAGTAGAAAACTTGAAACATTCGTATCCTAGCCTGCATAGCAGGCGGCAGAGAGGGAAAGGGAAGGGAGGAAAAGGTCGCGCGCGTGAAGCAGGGGGAGCGAGAGGGAAAAGGAAAGGAAGCTTTACCCTCCCTCCCATCACGCTTCGTGTCTTTGCACGCACCATTTACTTACCTCTACCTTTCTAGCACCTGCCATGCAGGCTATCTGCATCCTAACGGACATTGAGCTGAACACTCGTAGATAATTTTCATTCCACTATGTGCCCATCAATTAATC